TCCCTACCTACCACCTTTATCTTGAGCAAAGTACTTGATGAATGACCGGAATGGTGCACGCCACGCAGACAAAAATGGAGATAAATGAAAATTTGAAAAACAGGGAGCAAAGCTCTGCCTCCCCAACTCCTTCAACACACCTAACATAACCCAGAGGCACGTGTCAGGAGTCCAGCATCTCCTTTTTCAGTTAACTTTCCATCAGTTTCAGTTTGAATTTGAAAGAAATATGATAAAATCACATTATTTCTTGCACATCCAGTCACCTGTAAGTTACTTGCACTGAAATGCTTTAGCAGGAACTAGAAAATGTAAGACAAAACTTAGGAAATTATCCCAAACCATCTATGTCCTGTTAACACTGGAGGGATCATAGAGCATAGTGCCCTGAAGTTTGCAGCACATGCTATTTCATGGTTTATTTTGAACTCGTTTGTACTAGAATACACAAAAAACATTTAACTCTTCTGAAATAAGACAGCAGAGGCTTCTACTTTTACGCTGTAACCCCCTTTTGGGATGCATCCAGCAGCAGTTTCGGAACAGCTTTGACCAATGATCACTTTTAGGCTTTTCCAGTCAGAAAGCCCCATAGTTTTCCTATCAACATCACAGGTCCTTGAAATTCTGATGTAATCTGGCTTTCCCCATGCCTAGAGAAGAAAAAGAATCAGAGGATTTGGGAAAATCTTAGCCTATGGTTTAGGCATCGTTTTTAGCACAACGTTGAAGGCAGATGCAATAAAATTTGGGCCCACCACTGACTTAAATGCTTATTTTAGTTCACAGGCTTAAGCTTTTGTTCCCTCTTGCATGGTTGCTCACCCCAGAAACTTTCCTGACATTTGCTTTAAGCAGAAACATCAGCTTAGTTATGAATTTTCATGGTCTTTTAAGCAATAATAAGGTCAGACTCAAATACAAACCAGACTTGGAAATGAGGAGTTTTTTAAAAAAAAAAAAAAAAAAAAATCAGGAAAGGGAACATTTCACAATGTGCATTTCTTGCAGATTTGATGCCACTTCAGGTGACAGCTTCAGGTGGCTTAAAGAGATCACTGTGTATAAACTGGTGAAAGCAAAAGCCTCATAGAGCAGCATTCTCATTCTGGGGCACAAATACCAAAACTACCTGGCATGGTGGCAGTTGGGTTTTTCTGCTCCATCACCCATGGTCCTGACTCTCACAACACGAGCACAGCCTGCTCTAGTTATCCAGCTTCTGAAAACTGCAGAGTCTTTCATAATTCCTTTTTCTTTTTTCAGAAAAAGCAATACAAACTGTGCTGTAGTATCAGTGTTCTTGTGATGAATAATGGATTTCTAAATGTTTAATGTGGCAGGCTTACAAAAAAAAAAAAGGGAGCGTTTTTTTTAAGCTGTATCAACAATCAAAGAACAAGTCAAACATTTCTCACAGAGCTCTTGGGATCTGAGCACAGTACAAGAATCAAGGAACAGATCCTAAACCCACAGGAACAGCTGTAGTTTCACCTCTGGTTCCAGAAACACAACAGCATCCTTTCCACGGTTATGCAACACTGTATCTTTAGTGATTTAGCTTAACAAAATCTATTTTTGAAAAACTTTGACCTTCTTAACCACCACCATCTGAAATACTTGTCTAGAGAGTATTGTCCCTGAGACCTCATTTTTATATCTAAAAAAGCAACACGTCCTGTAATTCCATCAAAACTCCACATACCGTTGTTGAAAATACAGCAAAATTCAATACCAACCATAACCACAATGTAACAAAAAACCTGACGAAACCTCAAACTGTGGCACTAGAGGTTTCTGCACCTCTTCTAATTTGTCTCTAAGAGACTACCTAAAAGACAGCCAAATGTAAATACGTCATAACATCTTAGATGTAGTACAGAGAAAGTGGCAGTGCTCTGTCATTCCCGACGTACAGGATGTGTAACAATAGTATCTTCACTGTGGTGTGGCTGTGTCAAGAATAATCATGGTAATGCAACTGCAAATTCTGTATTGTTGTCTGTTAGAAGTGTAAACTACTGAAAACTTGGCCTTGCTGATATGAATAAAGCGATTAAAACACCCATCTTTATAGATACAGTAGAGTTTGTCCTCTTTAAGAAATGCGCATCTTAGCATTTACTTTTTTTCATTTAAAAATGTGAAGGTAGGTGACTATTTTAGAAAGCAAGTCACGATATAAATGCGCTTGTTTTACTCTTCCTTAGGTGGCTGCAGAGATCTGGGGACACATCACGTGCGTGTGGATGCACACGTTTCCATTACCCCAACATACGAGGGAGGTCTCGTAACTAAACTGAGCTCTGCTACCCGTAGCCCTCCAGCAGCCTGGGAACATGATCCAACTTTAATTAATGATTCTAAGTTTCTATGACAAACAAATAAAACAATCCAGGTGGGAATTCAGGAAGCACCTTCAAAGCTAGTTTCTTGGCATAAACATCATTCCTCAGTGTCCCTTCATACAGTCCAGACGATTCAGGCAGAAATTCTGTGGTAACAGCAGACCACTTGGAGAAGCATCAGAGAAGCCAGGACGGTGTATTCCAGTGTCCTGCGTGTGTCAGGTACAGACATGGAAAAGGGCTTTGTGAATTCCCAGTATTTTTATTTAAGAATATTAGAATGTCCCAGAGAAACGCCACGATGGCAGTTTTTTGCCCCAGCAGCACAGCCCTCCACAGGCGATGTCATCTCTTCAGCTCTGATTTTGGTTTGTGATAGTTTTAAGTTTATACGTTAAGGGAGAATCAAAGGCAAGTAACTGGAGCGTTTGATGACAAATCCTGCCAGAAATCAATTATTTCACTTGATGTAACACCATGTACTGCAATCAAATGTCTATACTTACAGATATCAAAATTAATTTTATAAAGAAAGAATTGTTCTTCATCTTCTGGAATACTGATGTTCACCTTAAGTATATTTAAGCAAATTCCAATGTAAACATCCTCAAATTTAATAGGCTTGACATGACTCATCAGTTCATAAATTCTGAGAGCCAGTTTTCCATGCAATATATAACCCATCCCACTGCAATATGGAGGATACCACTTGAAGGGATATTCCTGGTAAGAGATGTATCTTCTTTTGTAAAAGCCTCTGTAAGCAAAGTTGTCTACAAGAGGATAACCAGTAAAAATATTTTCTGAGGAATTCAGTTTCAGAAGGAACTTCACCAAGTTAGCAGGGTTGATGAAGACATCGGTATCGGTCTTCATAAGGAATCTTGTGTTAGAGCAGAACTCGGTGACCCACCTGAACGCCATGATTGTTTTCAAGGTGAGATTGTTGTAAGTGTCCATAAAATCCTGTCGAATTATGTCACCATAGAGGAGGCTTTCATCTTCCACTGACAGTGCTGCAACACTGTCCTCCCTTTGAGTGTCCTCACCCAGTAAGAACAGGGTTAGGACTCTGTGTCCCCACCAGAAGTTCTGAGATCCCCACGTTATCCTGATGGCCTGCCTGGACTTCACGTCCTTAGGGCTTGAAGACACCAAGATGACTAGAAATGGATTTATGTCTTTGCATTTCAAGCGCTCCCGCAGCGTGAAGAGGTAGCGTTGCTTGTAAATCGGTTCATATTCATAGAAATACATCATGTCTGCATGCTCCATCGCAGTGTTGGAAGGAAAAATTACATACCACATTGTTAGGACAGAGAATCCGAGGAGAAACAAAAAAAAAAATTTTAGAGTTGTCATATGCATGACACTAACTGGAACTGGGCAATAACTGATTCGCAGGAGTGAGTCAGTGACCTTCACAATCCATACGGCAAGTCCCGAAGCATGTTTCTTGCTGAAAAAGAATTGAAAAAGTAGTTTTCAGAATGTTGTTATCCAAATACTGTCTCTTTCTTGCCTAAAGTGTCAGTGGAGACAAATCCAGGCTCACTGGTCCAGCTGTCACAGCATCCTGTCCATGGTGAACCACTGCCCACACACCAGGAGTGAGCACACCACTGAGCTGCTGTGGAACATAGTACAGGCTGAAACCTCCCCTTGGAAATCTCCCCTACGCTAACCCATCTCTGCAAAATGTCACAGGTCGGGCAGCGTGAGCCCTGAGAGCTTGGCACTTCATCTTCGACTCCATAAGAACTCAATGAACACCCTGCACAGCCTCGAATGACTTCTCACACTCCGCTACAGGTAAGTAATTATTGAGTGCAGATGGGAGAAAAGTGGCAAATTCTTGTATTTATTACAGTCTAATAATCACAACCGATGGATAGTCTGATTTGAAGATTAAAAGATACTGTATTTATAATGTTAGATGCATAGAAAAATAACCCCCCCTTTTTCTTTCTAAACCTGCCAGCAGAACTAATTTGTAAATATGACTGTTCCCAGCTTCTTTTCTGCATATGGTTTACCACTAAGAGGAACTAGAGGTATTTTTGCAACATTTTGTACTGTGATGATCTAATATAATAATCCTTCAAAAAGTATTTCAGGTAACCTTTAGCACTGACTTGCTCTCACTGCTAATTGCCGAAGCAATCCTAATTCTCCATCCTAGGCACCTTCTCACAACACCCACGCTAATTAAGAGGTGCCAGCCCAGAGGCGGAGAGCGCAGCAAGGGGAAATCGGCCGCCCGCTGCTGAAGCCGAGCGAAAGAGCGAAGCCATTTCAGAGTGTCCTGCTAAGGGC